GCTTATTATGACTTATCAAAAGAAGCATTAATTCTTTAGTTAAGATAGAACTTTTATAACCTTTATTAATTTACCATTGCTTATTAGAAAATAAAGAATGCAAGTTTAATTTTAATATTGCGTTTATTACTTAAATATATTTTTTATATATAACAATTCACAATACCATAAATTTTCATATCATTAGTTTGTTTTTATCTTTTTTAAACTTATGTAAATTTATCGACCGAAATTGCTAACTAATTTTAGCATTTTTTTGCTTTCAAACAAAAAAAAGGAAAAACAAATAATGTGTAGGTTTTAACACTAAAGAAATGAAAAAAAAATGTTATGAATGCATATTATTGTACATTTTTTTGAATTAAACAATATATTCCATTAGAAAAATGTAAAATATTTTATAATTTCTGAGAAAATGAGTGTTCTATCCTTAATTGATTATCCTGTAAATTCTAAAATGGGGTATTGATAAAAAAACAAAAAAAATTATCAGTTCTGAACATTTATACTATTATACTATTATCAGTATTGTTGCATCAATAGACCTGTTGATCAGCACTCAACTGATCAAAAGGATACATCTGAAAATGTTTTAAATAACGAATATATTATTACCAATTTTACGTGTTTAATCTACACACAGTTTTATTAAAAATACTCACGTAGGAGTTATTATACGTTAGTATATCTTTAAATAAATTAAAAAAGTTCTATCAAACTTCATTTTGTATATTTAACACGTATTTATATCAGTATATTCGTTAACACTCCCTTTAAAATATAGAATTCTAAAGAATTCAGAAGTATCTTTGATTGTGACTCGCAAGTTAATAATAAAGATTGTACACTATAATTTTTTCACGAAAACATCATTAGGCACATTAATAATAAAAATTATACATAGAATTAATTGTTTTTTTAGCTTCGATGCGAATCTGAGAAGGTATTCATTTTACTATGATGTGTTTATTTATTTTTATGTGTCTGTCACTTCTTTTTCTCAACTCTCATTGAACCGATTTTTCTCAAACATACATCAAAATATCATTAATCGTAACTATTTGAAGACATTACTCTCAAAAATTAAATAGTGTTCCCTAGTTTTCCGTAAATAATGAAAATCCCCCAAAAAATTACGATTTTTAAAATCGGTATATTTCGACTTTTTTTTTTTTTTATATAAATGCCATAACATATTGAAAAATGAACGAATAAGAATAATTCTTTTTTATATTGAGTCCTTAAGTAATTCCCTANATGTAAATTTATCGACCGAAATTGCTAACTAATTTTAGCATTTTTTTGCTTTCAAACAAAAAAAAGGAAAAACAAATAATGTGTAGGTTTTAACACTAAAGAAATGAAAAAAAAATGTTATGAATGCATATTATTGTACATTTTTTTGAATTAAACAATATATTCCATTAGAAAAATGTAAAATATTTTATAATTTCTGAGAAAATGAGTGTTCTATCCTTAATTGATTATCCTGTAAATTCTAAAATGGGGTATTGATAAAAAAACAAAAAAAATTATCAGTTCTGAACATTTATACTATTATACTATTATCAGTATTGTTGCATCAATAGACCTGTTGATCAGCACTCAACTGATCAAAAGGATACATCTGAAAATGTTTTAAATAACGAATATATTATTACCAATTTTACGTGTTTAATCTACACACAGTTTTATTAAAAATACTCACGTAGGAGTTATTATACGTTAGTATATCTTTAAATAAATTAAAAAAGTTCTATCAAACTTCATTTTGTATATTTAACACGTATTTATATCAGTATATTCGTTAACACTCCCTTTAAAATATAGAATTCTAAAGAATTCAGAAGTATCTTTGATTGTGACTCGCAAGTTAATAATAAAGATTGTACACTATAATTTTTTCACGAAAACATCATTAGGCACATTAATAATAAAAATTATACATAGAATTAATTGTTTTTTTAGCTTCGATGCGAATCTGAGAAGGTATTCATTTTACTATGATGTGTTTATTTATTTTTATGTGTCTGTCACTTCTTTTTCTCAACTCTCATTGAACCGATTTTTCTCAAACATACATCAAAATATCATTAATCGTAACTATTTGAAGACATTACTCTCAAAAATTAAATAGTGTTCCCTAGTTTTCCGTAAATAATGAAAATCCCCCAAAAAATTACGATTTTTAAAATCGGTATATTTCGACTTTTTTTTTTTTTTATATAAATGCCATAACATATTGAAAAATGAACGAATAAGAATAATTCTTTTTTATATTGAGTCCTTAAGTAATTCCCTATTATTTTATGTAATATTTTTGAAAATCTGACCCTTTACCTGTTAACAGGAGGATTCAAAATAGAATGTTTTTTTTACAAAAGTCAACTTTTTCAAATTAATTTTTGAAAATGTTCTGAGAATATTGCATCCATTAAACATATGTTAAAAACATGCAATTTTGGTGTTAAAATTTATTGTTTCATATTTTATTTTTAGCTTTGAGGCGAAGCTGAGAAGGTATTGGTTTTATTATGATGTGTTTCTTTTTTTTTTTGTGTGTGTCTGTTACCACTTTTTCTCAGTTCTCACCGAACCGATTTCTTTTAATGATACGTCAAAAGATCACAAATAGTATCTAGTCGAAGACACTACCATCAAAAATTGTAAAAATTTCCGTCGTTCCCCGTAAATGGGGAAATCTCCAAAAAAATTACAAATTTAAAAATCACTAATGATATCATTACCTTTCATTTGATATATTTTATTTTTATAAATTTGACACTTTACCTGCCCAAAGGAAGGGATTTAAAATGACAATTTTTTCACAAAAAATTAACTTTTTCAACTTGACTTTTGAAAATGTTCCGGAAAGTCTGACACTTTTATATATATCTTAAAT